TTGCCTTTACGTTCCATAGTCTCACTGGTGTCCTTACAGAACTTTCTAAACTCTCTGCATCCATCTGTCAGGAGTAAATTCACTTGCTCTTTATTATGTTGGTCATTTATTGATCCAGTGATGTCTTTCTCTATGTGTGTATATATATATGCACACATATGTATATATATATATAAACCCAGAACAAGCCAGCAAATTTTAATTAATTTTTGTTTCAATTATGACAATGGATAACCTCCTTATTTTCCCCTGTCACCTCCATGTATTATGGTTACACAATTTATCAGCCAGAAAGGTGCATTAGACTGATTAGTTTTTCATCTTTTTTCCTATGTGCTCTGAAGATATTCCGGAGGTGCAGACCCCTGTAAAGGGAATCATCCCTTACTTAGCTCCCCAGCTACTTCTTGCAGAATTTTTGGTGGCCCGTGGGACCTGTGGGCTGTAGGGGAAGAACCAGTGATGGTCGTGCTGGGACATTGCAGGCATGGGTGGGCAGCACATGGGCTCGTCCAGCTCTGAGAGCCCATCTTGGAGCTTGTTTCTGAGGTCAGAGATTTGCAACATCCTGCTCGCTTCCTGCCGTTGCCCCCATTAAAGTCCTCAGCCTGTGGAAGATGCTCATTAAAACGTCCACCATGGCATGGGTGAAGCAGCAGGGACAGGAGCTTGCACTGAAGGACCATGACAGTGTGACGTGAGTGTCCCTGCAACAGCCTGGGGCTGAACTTGATGCCTTCTGTGCTGGGAGGGTCAAACATTTCTTCCAGTAGCAATGCCTCACTTTTCTGCTTGATCTGTCGGTCTCTTCTCCCCAGCAACAAGCAATAGGATGAGAGGAAATGGCCTCAAGCTGCGCCAGGAGAAGTTTAAGTTGGATATTAGGAAAAACTTGTTCACCAAAAGGGTTTTTCACCTGTTCAGGCATTGGAACAGGCTGCCCAGGGAAGTGGTTGAGTCTCCATCCCTGAAGGTATTTAAAAGACGGGTAGATGTGGTGCTCGAGGACATGGTTTAGTGGTGGACCTGGCAGTGCTGGGTTAACAGTTGGACTCGATGATCTTAAGGGTCTTTTCCAACCTTAATGATTCTATGATTCTATGATCTGGCTTTACCTTCAGAAGGTGGTTAGAGGCTACCTTGACTGCAAACCAGAGAGGTGATAAAGTCTGCCTCCTTGGAGATATTTAAATATCTGCCTGGACTTTGTCCTGGGCAATGGCCCTAGGTGGCCCTGCTTAATCAGGGGATTGGACCAGAGGACCTCCGGTGGCCTGGGCTGCTCATACCACCCAATTGCCAGCTCCGGGAGATAGGGACCATGGGAACATCTTCCCCCTGAGCACCTCCAAGGCAAAGGTGTAGGGAGGGATGAAAACTTGTTTGGCCCATGGGAACCTGCTCACAGCGTGCTAGCTAAGCCACATGTTTCTAAGGTAGCTTTAGGAAAATGGCATGGGATCGCCTTCACCAGAGCTCATGCTGTGCTGGGAGAGAGGAGGAGGTTTGCTTGGCTTGAGCGGAGAGACATCAGCACAGGAAGCTGCAAGGAAGTATTTTACCTCCTAGAAATAGCAAATACACGCTGAGAATCAAATCTCCCCTCTGAGGTTTTTTTAAAATCATATTCAAATGAAGATTTAATGTTGAAACGTGTTTCCTGATCTAAAGGTGAATAGTTTAACTGTACGGGATAAATATTTAATAGGAGCATATCTCTTTCCAGTAAAAACACTCTGGGCAGAGACTTCCTTTTGGTAGCAAAATGAGGCTGTTATTCTACGTGCCTTTGACCCAATTCCAAAAAAATATTTAAAATAGCGAAGTTGGCAGATCCTGCCGTGGGAGGCAGCCAGGTGAAAAGGGCAGAGCTGTGAAAGGTGAGGCTGAAGTGAGGGGTGAGGGACACTGACTCATCGGTTATCTTCTCACTCTTCAACAGCCACCAACATCGCTCACTGTAGAGGGAGTGCATGGCTTGCAAATGGCCTATAAAATTAATTGCCAGTTAGAATCACCTAATTATTGACCTTGTGAAGATTAATTGAAGGCGCATATGGGTTTGAGGTTGTGCGCAGCTTCTCTGCCGTGTTACGACTCCACCGTGCAATTGCAAAAGGCTCTGTCAGAGCTGTGTTTGTGCGGTGGTCTGTGAGCCACCGGGAAATGACTGATGTTCCTGTCCCCTCTTGATCTTTTGGAGTTTGAAGGGCAGTTTATGAGCAGCCTACTTGGGGCCAAGGAGGTACCCATCAGTGAGTGTAAACGAAGGGCTGAAGGTGGGTTCAGGAGTCCCCATGCACATAAAACCAGCAAAGACCTGACTTTTCATGGTTAAGTCGCTGTTACAGCTCAGAATAACAGTAGTTAGTCACTGTTTGATTATGAGAATTTTCATATTCACTGGGTGCCACGTAGTATTTATTTAAACACCTCTCCCAAGCATCCTGTAAGATATCATTTGGTAGGTGTTGCTGAGTGATGCAGGGCTGCGATGACTGAACATGTTAGAGCCAGGGCACTATGAAATGCGCTGTGTGGGGCTCAGAAGCATTTCTGCACCTTTTTTGGATGTGTTTGTGCATTGTCATGTACCAGCACCTAATATGTTCTTCTGCTTTATTCCTTCTTGCTCCCACTTAGGCTTCAGCTCAGTTTAGATTTCTTTTCTTGGGTAATAAATCTTCACGTTTGCACAAGTTGTATTTTTAGGGTATGGGTATTTTGAAAGTTTCAATAAATATTTTCCTAAGAACCTAAGTACAGATGTGCGTGGCCGGTGCTTTCATGCCTGAATCCCAGATTCCCGTGACAAGGACACGGGGTCGCAGTGGAAGCATTTTCCTGCACTCACTTAAACCCTCACTGCAGAGGTAAATACTTATCAGGAGACCCTCGTCCTCTCCCACACTCCCAGATATATTTTTCCAACAAGCTGAATTTCAGCCAAGTCCCTGTGTCAGGTGGCATCCTGTTGGCCACCTTTAGACCTGCAGAATTGGGGCTGAAGCAGAGCTTGGGTGTCTGACTGGCTCGTAGCCTGAGGAGACGCAAAGGGAGAAGGACATAGAGTGCAATTTCTGTTTTTCACATGCATGAGATGTGGAAGGCTGACAAGACTTGCCCAAGGCTGGGAAGGAGATCGGTTACTGGATATGAATCCCTGACCTCCCAAATTGTAGGGGCACAGGGAGATTTGAAAGCGGTGCTCATTGGAGGAGTCCCTAAGCCAGGGTCTCCTCCCTGGGCGCAGGGAGAGGAGAAGTGTCTCGGATTGGGCTCAGGCTTTCTCAGTCCTCACTTTTTTCCAAGCTTCTGTCATGGCAGCACGTTTATTTGTGTTGTAAGGGTGTCTTGCACGTCTGCTTCCAGAGCTCCACCAACGTCAGCTGTGTGCAGCACAGTGATTTGAAGAGTCAGTCAATATGGGGGGAAAAAGTCAGAGAAGAGGCAAAGCTCCTCCATGTGTACGTAACGGAAAAAGCTCCATGACACCTTTCCTTTCAAGGAGTAATTTCATCAGGAACTGAAATTAATACCTGAAGTGGATGTATAAGCCTCTCCGAGATGTTCAGGACTGCCGGCAACCCTCCGTTGCTCTGTTGCACTGGAGGGCCCTTGGGTTTGGGTTACAAGATAGCCGAAGGCTCCCTTCCTTGGCTGCTGGGTGCAATATGAGCTTTACTTAGATCAGCTGAATTTCTTTGTAGCGTGTGGGCTTGCTGATGCAGGGACCCATCTTTCCCCATAGGCATATTGTTCAGCCTTCACCAAATGGTGCTTTCACCTTTGACTGGTGTACCAGGGGTTACCAGCTTTAGTTGTTAAGTGTTATTATTCAGGCAGGGAAACTTTAATGGGCCTCCATGTGGTTTTTGGTTTGTTTTTTTTTTCCTTTTTTAGTTGCTGGAATTAAATGTGTAATTTTTAATGGGGATCCTCTTAATTAAATCCACTGGCAGGGTGGGATGAGTTGGCTGCAGGCCACGTCAGGGCTCTCCTGTGACCTTCTACAGCATCTACAGCGCTCCCACCGCTGCGCCAACACCCCTCCAGCACGAGGGTTGTCATCAGTGGTGGTGATTTTAAGAGACATCCATGGTAGTAAGATCAATGTTGGCTTTAGCAACGAGCCTCCCAGCCCTGCCTGAATGTTTTATTTAGTTAGTTCTCTGATAAAAGCTTTGACCTACATCTAGCACCAGGAAGCGATGAGGCTTTGATAATACTCGGGCATCCCGGCGGAGGGCACGCTGCTAACCGAGCCTCCAAGTCGAAAATGGATGTGTCCTTTAAAATAAAATCAGATAAACCAATAAAGGTGTCAGTAAACAGCTTTATCTCTGCCAGGCAATACATAGTCCAGTTTTGTTGGAGAGGATGTACCTCTTTATGAACTGTAGATATTAGGAAAAGCGCCTTCTATTTTTAGTTACAGGAAAACAAATCAAAAGCCAAAAAAAACCGCCCAGTTTTCAATGATATGAGCGTGTCGGCGATGGAAATGGGGCTGGATCACTCAGGTTGCTCAGTGGTGAAGCAGTTATCTGAGGTGGTAAAAAAGAAAGGTCCTATTTGAATTTTATTTTTGCTGTACATATCTTAGATGTGTTCCATCATCCGGAGCTCTCAATCATCTGCACGAGGCTATCTTGCAGGCAGCTGTACCAGCTTCATGGGTGTCCTTTCTAAAACGCTTGCTGCCTTTAAAAGCAATGGAGGCGATGTCCAGGAGGAATGAGGCAGAGGGGTTTGCAGCCCTGTCCTCCCAGCAGCCAGCTGTAGCCCAGGAGTCAGGCGGAGGTCAGCAGCAGCAGGATGAGAATTAGCATCATTGCCCTGACAAATCGATAGTCACGGGGCGATGCTACGGGACCACCGCTGCACTGTGGTGTGGCCCCACATTGATTTACAGCACTTATCTGGGGGGTTGTGTCTGTGCCATCACCCGTTTGTGTACTCATGTTGCATGTTTTGTGGGCTTTTTTTCCCCTTTCCAGGATGAACTTGACCTCACGGACAAGCACAGAGAGGCCATGTTCGCGCTGCCAGCGGAGAAGAAGTGGCAGATCTACTGCAGCAAGAAGAAAGTAAGAGACCCATCCGTGCTGTGGTCAGGGGCTGAGCCCCTTCCCTCCTGTGCAGGGTGGGGAGGAGATGTGGGGAGGAACACAGCTCTCTTGGGATGCCGAGTGGTATTTGGGGTGTCGCAGAAATGCATCTGTTGTCCGGGGTGGCCCTGGGGAAGCAAGGTCTTCACTCTCCAAAATGCAGAATCCTTCCTCCCAAGCCCATTCAGGCTGGAGGTGTCCCCACACCCCGCACAGGTGTCCCCCACCCCATGCTGATCCCTGCCAGCACAAGCAGGGCCATGTGGAGCTCCATGGCCACCGAGGCTGGCATTGCGGCAGCAAGGGGCTGCTCCGGTCACCATCTCTCGTGGCCCCGCTCTTCTCTGCTGATGTTTGGGGGCTCAATCACACCCTGCTCAAAAGCCTCCTTCTTTCCTGGGTTTCCAGTTTGCTGCCATGAAACAGGCTTGGGTGTTGTTTTTGTCCTCCCACTGGCTCTTCCACACAAATGGAAAGTGCCACTGGGGAAGCCATGGCCCCACAGCACAGCCTGCGAGAGATTTGGCCTGGCAGTGCAGAGCTTGCTTTTAGGGTGAAGCTGTGTCGCCTCTGGGGCGATGAAGGGCTCTAGGTTCATGGGTGTAACTGAGATACTGCTGCTAAGAGACGAGGGTTGATGCGAGTCGCTGATCTGTCTGCCGAACATGACGTGTCCGTTCTGCGATCCTGCCCTCACGGCTGCGTTTCTTAAGCTGAAAACATGCATGGACATCTTCCCAATGCCAAGATATGCTGATGTCTGAGCTTGGTTGCGTCACCCTTTAGACAGAGGTCAAGAATTGAGGTTTGTTTGTATTTCTGCTGGTAAAGCAATGCCCAGGTGGCCAAAGCCTGTGTTGCCTGTGGGCAGGTTCACAGTTGCGGATTGCAGCGATGCCGGCGCCAGCTCTCATGGTCCGTCTGGGATGGAGCAGACTGCCTCACCACCTTTCTCCCTCCGTTCATTTACTTTTGCTCCTGGAGGTGGACAGCCCAAGTGGCGTGGGGTACCGCAGGCTGGCAATCTGTGAGATGGCCAAAATCACACTTTTTTCCCCCAGGAAACTGAACATTTTTGCCCCTCTATGTTGGCACAGGAGTTAGCCCGAGCTGTCTGTGCTGGGAGTCATTTTCCCTCTGAGCCTTGGCCAAAGCAGAGATCCTGCAGGACATAACATCGTGGGGAGAAATGGGGCAAAAATCCTCAATCTCACAAGCAGACGGAAGGACACCAAGGCCTGCGAAGGAAATGCCCCCAGCTGGGGGCATGGACCTGTTGGAGAGGGTCCAGAGGAGGGCCACAAAAATGATCAGAGGGCTGGAACACCTCTTCTGTGAGGACAGGCTAAGAGAGTTGAGGTTGTTCAGCCTGGAGAATTGAAGGCTCTGGGGAGACCTTATTGCACCCTTTCAATACTTAAAGGGGGCTTATAAGAAAGATGGGGACAGACTTTTTAGCAGGGCCTGTTGCAATAGGACAAGGGGTAATGGTTTTAAACTAAAAGAGGGTAGATTCAGACTAGATATGAAGAAGAAATTTTTTACAATGAGGGTGGTGAAACACTGGACCAGGTTGCCCAGAGAGGTGGTAGATGCCCCACCCCAGAGGCTGAAGATGTACCTGCCCATCGCAGGGGCGTTGGACTAGATGACCTTTAAAGGTCCCTTCCAACCCAAATCATTCTATGATTCTGCGATTCAGTTCCCAAATTCACCACTGTGTCCCCTAACCTGGCTGCAGGAGTTGGCTCGGCAGTGCTGGCAGTGGCCTGGCCCCACTTGAAAGGCAATTGCTGCCGTTAATGCCTCTTTTCTCCCGCTGTAGCAATGGCACCAGATTTTCCAGCCACATTTTAGGCCAAGAACAGGCTTACCTTGCTCATGTAGGATTAAGTTTTAAGCCTCTCATAAATACCCCTGAAATCCCTGTATTATTGTTAGACAGAGGCCTGCCGTGCCCGAGATTTAAATCGGAGCGGGGAAGAGATGTTAACAAATTACAGGCACTGGTCTGAATCAACAAGAAAATGGGCAGGAGATGCTCGCTCATCATTGCCTGTCGGATAAGCGGAGCCGTGCTCCAGTGTATCTGGATAAGGGGAGACAACGAAGACTTAAATCAAGCAAAGCCATGTAATTATTATTGCGAGTGGAGATTACGTGCTATCTAATCTTCCAGGGAAGGGTTTAGATGGGGCTGATGGTCCCTCTTTCCTATTCCAGCACCTCCTTGCACTCACAGTTTTTTAAAAACTGTGCTGAGAAACTCTCTGCTCCCGGGGGGTGTTGAAGGAGCCACAGAAGCGTGCCACAGCATCCTCAGAGGTCCTCGGAGCAGGCGCCCATCCGCGGCCGGATCCTGGCTGCCACTCTGCCCTGCTCCTCCTTCCTCTGGCTGCTCTCAGGCGCTTCTTCCCTACTCCTGATGTACAGGAGTCCCTTGCTCTGAAGGAGATGTGCTGATGGAGACGAATTTTTCTCCTGCATTTTAATTAAAAATGAGCAAGACTGTATCGACAGAGGCTTCAGCAGTGGAGGAAACCAGGAATCACATGGGCTGGAGAACATGTCTCTATGCACAGCAGGCTCTAGGCAGTCCTGCTTCTATGTGATGAGGACTGGTAGGCAGCTGAAACATCAGGGGCTATCCCGGTGGCTTGTGGTAAATCTTACTCATGTACCTATGTTTTTATGAGGACAAATCACCTATAGGGTAGCCTGGCATCAAGAAGAGGGGCTGGACTTCTCCAGCTGAGAGCAATGGCTGGGTTTTGGCCGGGGCAGTGGAGCTGGAGACAGGGCAGGGGTCCTACCTCCCTGCCTCGGCTGCAGGCTGAGCAGCGGTGATTTGGGAAGTCCAGGATGCACCCAAACCCTTTGGCCTGCCTGTGTTTAATAGCAAGTCATCACTTGAGATGCTGGTAACACCCAGTTTCGCCTGATGGGTCCCAGGGGGCTGGCAAAGGTGGACATCAGTCACAGGCAGCTGCCTGACTTACCAAGGATCCAAAACTGTCCCCTGGGCAGTTTTTGCTCTTTCCTCCACTGCCAATTTTGGCTCCTGTTGGAAGCAAGCTGCTGAGAGTCAGATGACTTCAGTCAGACTTTGAGTCTGAAAGTCCAGTTTGAGACCAGTTGCAACAAGCTCCCCCTCGAAAGAGCAGCGTGAGGCAGGATGGAAACGCTGCCCAGCCTTCTCCTGGGGAGTTTGCTTGGAAATCTGCTTTGCCAGGCTCCAAAATATCTCACACTGTGGCCGTAGCCCAGGCAGCCAGGGCATTCCCCTGCCTCCATCAACAGCAAAGGTGTGTGCAGCACGGAAAGCATCTGAATATCTGTCCTTTCAGCACGTTCCCTGCTGTCGTGTGCCATCTCTGGCACTTCTGCTTTGCTGTTGGCATCGCCAGTCATACTCATGTCTGCAGAGTATATCCTAGTTGTTGCACGTTTTATATATTCCCATGATAGGTAAGTTTTGGTAAAAGGTGACCAAAATGAGACATTGTTGTGCTGGGTTGTCCTGGCAAGGGACTTGGCAGCACCTGGCCTCGGCAGTGCTCATCGAGAGGAAATAAAGGAAAACCATCATATTTCCTTCCCTGGAATATTTCCCTCTGCCCTGCAGCTCCATATCCTGGTTTCTCTGCCCTCCAAGCAGCTGTTTTTATCCCAGCCCACAGTACCGGCTTGGCAGGGCGGAGGTTTTGTCCTCACTGATTCTCCATCCAGGGAGACGCCAGGTCTGATCCCAGCCCTGACCCTGCTCGGAGCAGGGGGATGCACTAGTTGAACTCCCCATGGTTTCATCCCACCTGCATCACCCTGGGATGCTCTGGGTGGGGGCAGAGGGATAAAAAGCATTTCGTGATGCGGGCTGGTGAGTCTGTCAGCAGAGACCCAAAGGGGAACTGAAGTCTGCATTAAATCCAGCAGCCGTGCAAGCACTTGGATCAGGAGAGAGATTTCAAGATTATTAGAGAGACCTTCTTTGAAGTCATCAGCCCTCTCTATGGCTGTAATAAAGCAGGGAAATGTGAAGGTGGAGATGCATTAACAGCAGGATGAAATCTGCTTTTAGAAGTGGTATTTCTGGATGATGACGTGTTTCAGACCTCATCCCAAAATATTTCACTCCCTGCTGGCCCCGCTCTCCGGGAGAGGATATTGCTCGGAAGCACAGGGAGGAAGCAGGAGGGTTTCCAGCTTTACCGTTTCTTTGGCTGCGGGTTTGCTTCAGTGGAAGACGGTGACTCAGGATGGCCTTTCTCAGGAGGCCACACTCCAAAGGGAGTTAATAATTAACACTTTGCACTTATTCTGCAGCACCTCTTAATTATAGGAGGTTTGGCTTCTGCCAGCTGGTGTACATAATGTCAAGCTATTAAAGCAGCTCACCGGGGAATTTTTATGAGCCTCAAAATATGGGTGGATAAAGGGTGTTCAGGCAGAAGCTCAGCATAAATAAAAAGGTGGAAGGGCTTGGTAGTGAAACCAGCTCAGGCAAATGCAGGGTCTGACTCTGCCCTCCTCCCTTTCCATTCGGCTGAGCTCTCTGAGCATCTGTAAAGCCAGGATAGGGGAAAAATGACCTACAGGGATGCCAAGCAATGCTGCGCTCTTTAAGCTCATGTTGAAAACCCACTGGCATTGCTAACGCTGGGTGTGTAGCTCTTGGCAGTGTTAAGCTGTCCCCGGCAAGCAAAGCTTACATCTAACATTTCCTCAGACATCGGATATAAAACCAGGATCCCTTTGCATTAGGAGAAGACAGTGATGGTGTGTTTGCAGGGGAGAATGGGAAAATATGTGATAAATAGGGAAATGAGTGATGCCTCTCCAGTAATACTATTTTTCCCAGCCAGACGGCCTCTTTCCTCTCTAACTGCGCCTTCCACCCGCTCTCTCCAGAGAGCTTCGCTTTCCAGCTCGCTCTTCCACTTGTAGATCAGTCCTGCGGCTCATTCACAGGGCTTGTGTTT